AAGGTAACAGCGTTCCGTGTGCCTTGGTGTTTAGTCATGCCGGCCACATGACCACGGAAATGTCTTCGGACTGCGCTGGCTCTTCGGCTTTGAAACGAAGATGAGCACCGCGACCCTAGAGTTGCATTCGACTGGCTTTCGAGCAAGGGAACCTTTACCTTTTACCTTCACTCAGAGTCTCAGAGCAGCTCACAATCTCCTTTCCCTTCCCCTCCCCTCCCGACAACAGACCCCCTCTGAGGTAGGTGGGCTGAGAGAGCTCTTTTGAGAACTGCCCGTTAAGACAACAGCTCTGAGAGAACGTGTGACTGACCCAAGGTCACACCAGTAGCTGCACGTGCAGGCGTGGGGGATCAAACCCGGTTCTCCAAGATTAGAGTCCGCGCTCCTAACCACTACATCAAGCTGGCTCTCTGTCTAGTTGGCGTGTGGAACGCACTGCCACAAGATGTGGTGATGCCCACTGGCTTAGATGAATTTAAAAGGGGGATTTTACTAATTTATGGAGGATGGTGTTTATCTCTGGGTGTCAGCCACATTGGTTGAATGGGATTCAGAGGCAAATGGAAACTGGGTGGCAGAGAATCATTCCTTCCCCGTCACAGACAACATCCCTGCTGTCATTTACATTCTTGCTTTATCATGGAGCGGCAAGGAGCTGAGTCAAGTCCCCCAGGGCTTGTTGCAGATTCCCCTGACCCACTTCAGCCTGGCTGGAGTGGCTCCAACGGCTGTAATCCCACATTCCAAGAGTGGCAACCCTCAAACAGAGAAGCTTCAAGGGGAAGTTCCAATGTGAGATTGCTGAACTTGAGTTCATTCACAAATTCAGAACAATGGACTTCCCCCCCAGGACTGAATAGGGACATAGGTTTCTTATCTCACCACAGAAGCTAATTTTCTGCCCCCCAGCATTTCTCCCCTGCTCTAATCAAGCTGATTACATTTTGCGTTGTACATTTGCAGGGCTTTTTTTGTAGAAAAAGCCCAGCAGGAACTCATTAGCATAATAGGCCACACCCAACAGCAGAAACTCATTAGCGTATTAAGCCACACCCCTGACATCACAGTTCATTGGCATATTAGACCACACCCCCATGTTACCACACTCACCTTTTGCTTCTTATTCTGTTTACTCTGTTGTCAAAACCCTGGGCTTTTTTTTGGAGCAGGGACTTCTTTGTATGTTAGACCACACACCCCTAATGTAGCCAATCCTAATGAGTTTCTGCTGTTAGGTGTGGCCTATTATGCTAATGAATTCCTACTGGGCGTGGCCAACTCAGGAGCCAGCCGGAACTCCGTTCCTGTGCGTTCCTGCCCAAAAATAGCCCTGTCATTTGCATCCTGACTCCGTCCTTCGCAACACCCCTCCCACCTCCCGACTGGGATATAAGGACTCGGGGATCTCCTTTCCCACTTGTACCTGACGAAGAGAGGTTGGACTCTTGGAAGCAAACCCCAGAAATCTTTTTTTGGTCTCCATGGTGCTGCTGGACTCTAACCTCACATTTCCCGAGTGAGTGAACCTCAGCTCTACATAAGAACATAAGAACATAAGAGACGCCAATGTTGGATCAGGCCAAAGGCCCATCCAGTCCAACACTCTGTGTCACACAGTGGCCAGAAATACCAGTGCCATCAGGAGGTCCACCAGTGGGTTTAAGAACATAAGAACATAAGAGACGCCAATGTTGCCCCCCCCAAGGACCAAGAAGACAGAGCATCACTTGCCCCAGAGCCCCTAGCTATACCTTGTGGCTAATAGCCACTGATGGACCTCTGCTCCATATGCTTATCTAATTCCCTTTTGAAGCTGTCCATGCTTGTAGCACCCACCACTTCCTGTGGCAGTGAATTCCATGTGTTAATCACTCTTTGGGTGAAGAAGTACTTCCTTTTATCCGTTCTAACCTGACCGCTCTGCAGTTTCATGGAGTGCCCACGAGTTCTTGTATTGTGAGAAAGGGAGAAAAGTACCTCTTTCTTTACCTGCTCTTTCCCATGCATAATCTTATAAACCTCGATCATGTCACCCCTCAGTCGTCTTTTCTCCAAGCTAAAGAGCCCTAAGCGCTTTAACCTTTCCTCACAGGGAAAGTGTTCCAACCCTGTCATTCCCCACTCTTATGCAATCACCTGATGTCTTGCTGTGGGTCAACCTCTTCCTTCACCTGCACCGCGAGCGGGATCCGTCGCTCTGCCAGCCAGAGGGCACACTGCTGGGCCATCTTCTCGTCCCCTCCTCCGATGGCCGCGGCCAGCTTCAGGGCCTGCTGCTCTGCTAGGAACAAGAAGAAGTCTGAGTGGTGCGGCTTTATAGTGGGAGGAGCCCATTCACCTGCGGAACTCACGAACACATGAAGCGGCCTTCTACCGAACGAGACCTGCAACTGTGGAAAAATAAATGCTAATAATACCCAGTTACTAAAACCGGTGTGCAATTCGACTGTTATATATTGATGGCACGTTGTCCCTGACAATGTAATTTTACTTGCACTCTTAGGACCTAAACTGGAAGGTATATATTACTTCCAGTATATACAGCTACTTCTGAGACAAGGCCAGATATATCTGTGGCCCCAAATAGAAACTTTTTGCTGTGTCATTCAATTCCATATTGGAACATTCCAATTTTGGTCCTATTTTATTTATAGTTAATTGTCTTATATGCAGGGGTCATTTCCTGCAGGAACGCACAGGAGCCGAGGTCCGGCAGTAAAGAGCCCAGGGGGCGGGCACATGCAACAAGCCCCACCCCCTGCTCCCAGTAGCCCTCAGTCAGAGCAAGAAGCAGCCAGGTAAGCTGCAGAGCCCCCCCGGCCCCCCAGCCCAAAACAGTCCAGTGGCCCCTTTAAGACCAAGTTTTATTCAGGTACAAGCTCTCCCTCCTCTGCGAGGACAGATCTGCACGTTTCCCCCCCCCCAATAGCTAGCAATCCAAAACAGTCAAAAAAATAGCTAGCAATCCAAAAAAGTTATGCTAATGAGTTATGCTAATGAGCTCCTGCACCTCTTTTTCTACGAAGTGACCCCTGCTTACATGTGTTACAGGGACTCTGTCGCTTGTTGTATTTTGAACTATTTGACCACCTCTGAAGAAGGCTCTCGTGAGCCAAAATGCATCAGGTAATATACTGTACCTTTTTGTGTGTATTTGTAACTTTGAACATTTTACGAGGCTTTATCTGGGCCCCTACTAGGTTTTTATACGTCTTTGTAATAAACACTCTTTTGTACACTTCCTTATGTTTTGACCTTTTGGCCCTCAATAAGTTTTCTAAACTTCCTTGGGAGGTTTGTGCTTTGTAGGTTTAGATTTTCTCCCCTCCTTTTTGGGGGTGTCTTCAGCCAAATACACAAACGAAGCTGCCTTCTACTGAATCAGACCCGCCGTCCATCAAGCACTTTAAAAATGGGATCTTTTTATGTTTATAATATTTAAAATGTTTTGACTTTTGTATATAGTTTTATGGTAAAAGGTAAAGGTAAAGGTTCCCTCGCTCGAAAGCCAGTCAAATCTGACTCTAGGGTTGCGGTGCTCATCTCCGTTTCCAAGCCGAAGAGCCAGCGCTGTCCGAAGACGTTTCCGTGGTCACGTGGCCGGCATGACTACTCACCAAGGCGCACGGAACGCTGTTCCCTTCCCACCGAAGTGGTCCCTATGTATCTACTTGCAATTTCTTGCTTTCGAACTGCTAGGTTGGCAGGAGCTGGAACTAGAGATGGGAGCTCACTCCGTCATGCGGCACCCGGGTCTCGAACTGCTGAACTACCGACCTTCCACAGCCTGCAGTTCAGCGTCTTAACCACTTGAGCCACCGCAGCTCCAATTAATGTAAACTGCCCTGAGCCTGCTTACAGGAAGGGCGGGGTATAAATTGAAGTAATAAATAAAGAAATAAATATGTGATTTCTGAATGTGAGTTCTGACGTTTCCTCTGACATGTTTATATCCTGACAGCTGTCACTGCGCCCTCACAAGAGTTTAACCATAGTGAATTCAGATTTTGGTATTTAGCCCAAATGAAAGAAGGATGGTTAACTCCAGAAGTGTTCTCAAAACATCTGGTCCCGGGAAACCAGCCAAGAGCCAAGCTTAATGTGAGTCACAGCCCTTATCAGCTAGCTTTCCATATGCAAGGCCAGAAAGGGTCCCGGTGTTCTCCAGTGTTTCGTATTGTTCCGGAAGACCAGACAAAGAAGCGTAATTACTGACACCAATAGGAGATGCGCTGGGTCAAGTGATGCTTGTATGATGTTAACTGCTTGGTACCAATTAGAGATTCTTTAATGTGTGTCAGTTTCCTTAGCAGGATCACACCACACACCAAGGCTTCTTAAGAAGATAAGAGTTTAATGATAGTCCATTTCTAAGAACGAGTATACAGCTTGTGTCAGGAATGACCGGCAATATAATGGCCACTTAATTATAGTAAAATCAAACGTCCCCCCCCCCCCAGCTAAAGCCAATCATTACATTTCGCGCGCACGGGCAAGCAAGCGGCTGCGCACCCAAACTGTTAAGATTCCCAGGCCGGGCAATGCTGCAGCTGGAAAGGAATAGCAAGGTCAGAGTAGAGATAAGCAGTGAAGAGCCAGACAGGATGAGCTGGTGTGGAGAAGGAAATGCCCCCTCCACATTCCAACATCATGACAGGGTTACCTGACAATGTGTAAACCAGGGCTTTTTTTGTAGAAAAAGCCCAGCAGGAACTCATTAGCATAATAGGCCACACCAAAAAGCAGAAACTCATTAGCCTATTGGGCCACACCCCTGACAGCACAGCTCATTGGCATATTAGGCCACTCCCCCATGTTACCAGAAGTGTGCTCATCCAGCCACACCCACCTTTTGCTGCTTATTCTGTTTACCTTGTTTGTGGTCAAAACCCAGGGCCTTTTTTTGTAGCAGGGACTCCTTTGCATGTTAGGCCACACACCCCTAATGTAGCCAATCCTAATGAGTTCCTGCTGTTGGGTGTGGCCTGTTATGCTAATGAGTTCCTGCTGGGCGTGGCCAACTTGGGAGCCAGCCGGAACTCCGTTCCTGTGCGTTCCGGCCCCAAAATAGCCCTGGTGTAAACTATACATGATGTCATTTGGGGTATAAGACCTTCTGCCCTTCCTGGTTATGGGAGAACACAGCTTTGGAACTGCTAAAGTCCTAAGGCACTCAGCCCTGTATTCCATTCCAGTGCATTAAACAGATATTTATCTAACTCATTGGACTCCAAATGTGTGTTTCCAGTCTGGCAACGGGAGCACGCAGGCAGATTTGTGTATCATTCCTGAGAGTCTTATCCTGTCATACTGTTTGTTAGACGTCTCCTCATCCTATTGATCGTACTGACCTACATTATGTAACCCACCTTGAGTGTGAAAGGCAGACTATGAATAACATCAAATAAAAATAATCAAGTAAACATCTAAGGTCACATGGAGAATTTGCCATGCGAAAGGCATGAATGTCGGGCGGATTTTCGGGGCGCGATCACACCGCAACGTCGGGGAAGCGTAGCACACCCGTGGCCAACCCGTGGCGTCCCGCCGAAGATGTGGAGTTTAAAAGTACCAAGGAAAGTGCACTAGTATCCGGAAAACATGCGGCACGGGTGGGTGGCTGATCGCGGGAGCGCTAGTATCCCATGGCATCCGGCGCCCGTCCACATCCCGTCGCAAACCAAATGTTTTTCGTAAGCGCGTGAGCACAAACACGAAACTGAAAGCAGTGCTGCTCCGCGGAACTGCGCATGCGCACAAACACGAAACGCTTGTGTGATCGCGCCGCTTCTTTGCCACGCCGCAGCATCGCCGTGTGATCGCCAGCTAACAGCCGAAGCACGGAGACTCCGGGGACCGTGTGATCGGGCTACCGCGCTTTATTTTGCTCCAGGGCGAACAGCCACGCCTCCCCCCCGGCGTTATCTGGCCCGTGTGACCGTGGCCTAAGGTGACCATAAGTTCACAAGTGCTTGTACAGCTGTCATTCAGTTCTGTGGGGCTTACACATGAGGAAATCCTGGAGGATCAGGCTTCAGCACAGCAAGAGGAGGCCCCTCGGATCCCCAGACAAAAAGAACTGGCAAGGTCATGGCAGTTCGCAGTCACACCTCCTGAGCCCCGAGATGCTCACCTTTTTGGGTTGCCTCCTCCATAAACAGCGTTCTGGCCAGCCTCACCCCGAGCTGCAAAATCCAGAGGCTCCTTAAAACAGAAAGAATAAAAGAATTTCAGCCTGCTGGGTTCTATTGGGCAGTGCCTGTGATGCGGCGAACAACAAGGACCTCCGCCCTTCTCCCTGTCCTGTGCTACTGATGCTGCTCTAAGCCCTGAAGAGGGCAAAAAAACCCCTCAAAACCCAACCCTCCAGGATCCCCGGCCAAACTGGCCTAGAGAAAAATGGCTTCCTGACCCCAAAGTGGTGATTGGCATTTCCCTGGAGATGTAAGAAAGGGCCACGAGAACTAAGCACTGAGGCAACTCTTCCTGCCCTCCCCTCTCGTGTTCTGCCCGAGTTCACAGAATCAGCATTACTGTCAGATGGCCACCTAGCCTCTGTTTATAAAAATGCAGGGCTCTTTCGCTTGGAGAAACGACAGCTGAGGGGTGACATGATAGAGGTTCACAAAATTATGCATGGGATACAGAAGGTAGAGAAAGAAGTCCTTTTCTCCCTTTCTCACAAAACAAGAACTCAGGGGCACTCACTGAAAGAAAGCAAACGCAATCTTAGGATGCATTCACAGAAGCCTTGTGTCCAGATCACGGGAGGTGGTCGTTCCGCTCTATTCTGGCCCCAACTGGAGTCCTGTGTCCAGTTTTGGGCACCACTTTTTAGGAAGGATGTGGACAAGCTCGAGTGTGTCCAGAAGAGGGCAACCAGGATGGAGAGAGGGTTGGAATCCAAGTCTTAGGAGGAAAGGCTGAAAGAGTTGGGTCTGTTTAGCCTGGGAAAGAGAAGGCTTAGAGGGGACAGGATTGCAGTCTTCAAATATTTGAAGGACTGTCATGTAGAAGATGGAGCGGATCTATTCTCTCTTGCTCCAGATTGCAAGACTAGTTCTAATGGGTGGAAATGACAAGGGAGTCGCGTTACCCGCTAAATATCAGGAGAAACTTCCTAAGTGTCAGAGTGGTTGAGCAGTGGAACACAGTCTGCCTCGGGAGGTGGTGGAGGCTCCTTCACTGGACGTTTTCAAGCGGGGGCTGGACGACCCTCTTTCGGGTATGTTGTAGGGCTCTCTTTTGGCCATGCTCCTGCGGAGTGCAGGGGGTTGGACTAGATGACCTGCAAGGTCCCTTTCAACTCCAGCATTCTATGATTCTATGCCTCTATGAAATTGATGAGCTGTAGGCTTAGAACAGATAAAAGGAAGCCCTTCTTCACCCAAGGAGTCATTCACACGTGGAGTTCATGGCTGTAGGGAGTGGTGGCGGCTACAAGCATAGATGGTTTCAAGAGGGGATTTGATAAACCTATGGGGCGGAACACCAGGGGCAATGGTGCTCTGTACTCTTAGTACTTTTCTCCCTTTCTCACAATATACATTCACACGTGGAGTTCATGGCTGTAGGGAGTGGTGGCGGCTACAAGCATAGATGGTTTCAAGAGGGGATTTGATAAACCTATGGGGCGGAACACCAGGGGCAATGGTGCTCTGTACTCTTAGTACTTTTCTCCCTTTCTCACAATATAAGAACTTGTGGGCACTCAATTGCTGAGCATTTGGGTTAGAACGGATAAAAGGAAGTACCTCTTAACCAAAGAGTGATTGACACTTGGAATTCACTGCCATAGGAGGTGGTGGCAGCTACAAGCATGGACGGCTTCAAGAGGGAATTAGATAAGCATCTGGAGCAGAGGTCCATCAGTGGCTATTAGCCACAAGGTATAGATAGGGGCTCTGGGGCAAGTTATGCTCTGTCATCTTGGTGCTTGGGGGGGTCAACAGTGGGATGGCTTCTAATGTCCTGGCCCCACTGGTGGACCTCCTGATGGCACCTGGTATTTCTGGCCACTGTGTGACAGAGTGTTGGACTGGGTGGGCCACTGGCCTGATCCAACATTGGCTTCTCTTATGTTCTTATGTCTGGGGCCAGGGATGCTCTGTATTCTTGGTGCTTGGGGGAGGGGGCAACAGCCAGGGGTTCTCTGTATTCTTGGTGCTTGGGGGAGGGGGCAACAATGGGAGGCCTTCTGGAGTTCTGGCCCTGCTGCTGGACCTCCTGATGGCACCTGGTCTTTTTGGCCACTGTGTGACACAGAGTATTGGACTGGATGGGCCACTGGCCTGATCCAACATTGGCTTCTCTCTTATGTTCTTATGTCTGGGGCAAGTGATGCTCTGTTCTTGGTGCCTGGGGGGGGTCAACAGTGGGAGGGCTTGTAGTGTCCTGGCCCCACTGCTGGACCTCCTGATGGCACCTGGTCTTTTTGGCCACTGTGTGACACAGAGTGTTGGACTGGATGGGCCACTGGCCTGATCCAACATTGGCTTCTCCCTTATGTTCTTATGTCTGGGGCAAGTGATGCTCTGTATTCTTGGTGCTTGGGGTTTTTTGTGGGAGGGCTCCTAGTGTCCTGGCCCCACTGCTGGACCTCCTGTTGGCACCTGGTATTTCTGGCCACTGTGTGACAGAGTGTTGGACTAGATGGGCCATTGGCCTGATCCAGCATTGGCTTCTCTTATGTTCTAATAAGAGGGAATTAGATAAACACAAGGGGCGGACCCACGATACTTGCGGGGGGGAGGGACCTCCACACATGAGGCA